TCGATTCCTCAAAACTCGTCATAAATATGGAAAATTTCAATTGCCCTAAGTTAGCATCCTTAGATTTATTCGGTTGCCATCATCACAACGACAATAACACTTCCCATTACATTTGTGCTCAAGAGAACGTGGAGAACCTAAAAATGTGGTTTCTGAAGAACTGTACCTCTTCTCTCAACCGAGCTCTGAAGATGTATTGTCACCTGAACAGTCTCAAGACCATGGCTGCTGAGGATATTGCATTCTTTCCGAAAAAGTTTCTTCTCATGGTCGCATCCACAGATATCGAGGAGATTTGAGAGAAATTACCTGAAGAAATGCGCACAAATAAAGACATAGCTGATTGTCGCAGATGTCGACGACATGACCCATCATTACTCGATGATGATACTGATAAGAACCAGAAATTATTGAATGAACTCCCTCTCTATTTCTTTCCAATGAAAAGAAATTGTAATTCATGTAAAATGTTAAAGAAAACTCAGAAACAAATAAATTCATAACAAAAATTTTGAAAAAAGAATTTGTTCTTTCATTTCTATAATTTTATTCATTGCATTCCACACCTCCTGTAACAAACAGGAAGAAAGATAAAGTGGATGAGTGCATCGACAATGACTAGGTAATTGGCCTTGCATTAAAGAGAATGAACGAGATTAACGTATCAAATGGAAACCACGTATCAAATGTCCAGTGACTTATTTTTTTAATTGAACTACTAATTTCAGGGGCGAATATTTTTTTCCGTCCCGGCAGGCCCAAAGATACATTGATACAAAGATACAAAGATACATACATCCCGCTTCGCGGGAGGGAACTCTGGCTTTACGCCTACGCCGAGGCGGAAAATCGCGTTCTAACCACGGGAGGTTAAATAAAGGACCCTCAGCCGCGTGCTTACCAACCTCGCCTTCGGCTCGGCTGGTAATTGCACTGGCGGCTGAGGATCCTTTATTTTCCCTCCCTAGGTTAGAAATATACTATTTTTCACAAACGTTAAAAATTTTGTTTTGTTTTTTTTGCGACATGTTCTTGAAACTGATAGACGATGTAACACTACTTATAGTACGGAATGTACTCGCGAAAAAAATTAGTATGAGCCACAATTACTTCTGATTGTTCTTAGTTTTTACAATTACGTTAATAATTGATGAGTAATTAGTTATTTAGCGCTACATTTATTTTAATAATGTGAAATTTGTTTATTTTATTTTATTTAGTATTTTTTTTTATAATTGAATCGTGCTTGTTTTACATACAGCACAGTGGCATGCACTGACGGGGGGGGGGGTTGAAATTTGAATGAAAAAGGGGGGAAGGGTTGCGGAACGAGTCTGAGCCCAAATCATGCTTCCAAAAAGGGGGGTGAGTATTTTTTTTTTTTAATTTTTTCCTCTCACGTCGCACAGATTGAGGTAAATTGAACATTTGTGAGGGGGTGGAAGCCATCCCTGCACGTATCGGGGAGGTTAAAATTTTGACACAGTGAGGGGAGGGGGTCAAAAAATGGGTCTAAGCTCAAATCATGTATCCAAAAGTGGGGTGAGTATGTTTTTTGTCTTTTTACTCTCAGTTCGCATCGATTAGGGAAAATTGGACATTTCTATGGGGTGGAACAAATGTTTCATTTACCTCCACAAATATTTTATTTACGGGTTTTTTCTCTCTAAATTCTAATTCTCTTAGAATTCTTTAATGCCTAAAAGAGGTTAGGCGGTATATGAGGTGAATTTGAGAGTGAATTTCTGTGGTTCCCAGTAGCTTAGTCGGTAAGAGTGCCCGGCGCGTATCTGGGAGACCCGGGTTCGATTCCCGGCTGGGTGAAGCGGAAATTTTTTCTCTCTAAATTCTAATTCTCTTGTGACCTCCGCACTTATCGGGGAGGTCACAATTTTTTTCGCTTTTTGCTCTCAGTTCGGACGGAAAATTGGACATTTTGAGGGGGTGGAAGCCACCTCCGCATGTATCGCAGAGGTCAAAATTTTCATACAGTGAGGAGAGGGAATTGAGGAATGATTCTGGGGCCAAATCACATGTCCAAAAGGGGGTGAGTATTTTTTTTCGTTCTCAGTTCCCACCTTTTGAGGTGAATGTAACATTTGTAAGGGGCTGGAAGCCACCCTCGCACGTATCGGGGCGATTACAATTTTCCCACAGTGTGGGGAGGGGGTTGAGGAACGAGTCAGGGCCCAAATCATGCCTCTAAAAAGGGGGTGAGTTTTTTTCCGCTTTTTTCTTTCAGTTCGCACAGATTGTGGAAAATTGGACATTTCGAGAGGGTGGAAGCCATCCCAGTTCAAATCGGGGAGGTTGAAATTTTGACGAAATGAGGGACGGAGGTTGAGAAACGAGTCTGAGCCCAAATCATGTATCCAAAGTGGTGCGGGGGAATATTTAAAAAAAACCTTTATTTTGCTCTCACATGAGACTTTGAGATCTCCCTTGTGGCACTACGTGCATGCGAGCATCCACAGTCTGATGGAACACATCTGATTTCGGATGTCGTCAATTGGTCTATCTATCGCGGTACCTTCGCGCTGCCTCTGCTGCAGTACACTTGAATTCCCCATAAATTAGATTCATATGAACGTATGCTGTCACTCTGTAATTCTTCATTCTTCATTTTACGCCAAATTCCGATAAATATCAAACATAGATAAGCAGTTCCACGCCAAAACGGACACCTAAAAAGTTCGATGTCGCGGATTTTCTTGCTGATTTTTTCCTGGAAAGTTGAGCATTAGACGGACATTTTGAAAAAAAAGTCGAAAATATTAATAATTGCGGGAGTTATGATTTTTTAAAATTTCTTTGTATTTTTTTGATGAATTTTTTTTCTCAGATTATCATTAATATCCGAGCCCAGATTGAAGCTATCAAATTTCTCTTGAACACACTTAAAGAACATGAAAAAATCTTCAAAATAAGACATTATTCGTTCTATTCCCTTCAGATTTACGGGGTTTATGCCACAAAAGGTGTTTTTTTTTTCAATCGCGATAATCTCCAAAAAACCAAATTTTTTTTAAATCTGAAATTTTCACGAAAAATCGTAGATTAAATGAGGAATATTTTGGCGTCAAGTAAAGTCAGTACTTTGCAGTAGTTTGGAAGATATGATTTTTTGAAATAATCAAACTACTAAAAATGATCAAAAATCACTATCAATCATCCCATTATTTCAAGAATTGATGAATTTTTCAATCGAACATCGGCAAATGAAGAGTTCTAGGGACATTATATATCCCATCATGCCCTGAAATGAATCATTTTCATTTACTTCTGAAAATAACAACTCCAAATTACTTGAAAGAAAGTCTTTATTATTTAGAAAATTATACAATGTTTATTTTCACTCATCTCCCAGTAATTTTGTTTGATAATCGAGGTATTTCCGAGATATTTAATTTTCAACTCGTTTAGGAATGGTGTATGTCTTAGATTTTGATCGTTTCGATGTGACTTCACATAGAATTTGCTCGAATAGTACAGTCACGAACTTCGGTACTGTAGGATCTTTATATGAAATCGAGGGGGCGCAAGGTGCCAATAAAGACACACAGCATTCGTTGTGGTCATAATCCCGATCCAAAATGAAACCCTCCCACCATTTCTCTTGATAAACAACAACCACTTCAGATTGAACCGAATCAAGTGATAATAAATCGTCGGCCAATTTGAACGTCTCATGCTGAGATGAGAATGAGAAACGTTTGACCATCATGGTGCCAGTTGAAGTAGGTATATAGTAGTGGTAGTCACGAATCCCTGGGATGTCTTTGACGTTTGCAGATCGCGAATACAATTTCTCCTGCATTTGAAGAATCTCATCTGTTGTCACAAGAATGGCAGTGATATTCAAGAGATTTTTTCGTGCCCAATCGTAGAGTTCGTTCACATTTGTTATCTGGTCTGTCAGAGGTGGTTGGAGACTAGCTCGCGTGACTGCACGCTTAAAGGTTCCACCCACACCGTCACGAGGACCCTTACCATGATATGATGCATAGAAGTGCCATTCAGCATCGACACCATGATCATATTTATGGAGACAAGTATTGAGGAACTTATTCTTGTATTGACTCCCAGCGCCATCTGTTTAATATACCATCTTCTTAACCTGTGGGACTTTATTTTTGATGAAGTCAACCAAATGTTTCTGAAAAGTAGCCACTGTACTACCGTCGTGTTTCAGATAATTAGATATCATTATTATTCATCACTGAGAACAACAATCGCTGGATGATGGCACGAGTGTGGAGACCTCGCGGTAAGGTATGCCACTAGCTCACCTTTCAGGAGCATCGATCCAATATCACGGAGGGATATATCTGAGTTCTACATTATCTGTCGCTATCGTCTGCTAGTATACAGGGTATTGACGGCAAATATTCGGAGCATGTAAAATAAAAAAATACAAGATCAATGGCGCAGGAATTAATGAAATTGGATGATAAACATTCAAATGATAGCGATAAGAATTTTCTATTAGTTGAGCCAACGATATCATGGTAGACGGCCGCCATGATATAGCTCTCATGAAACGGCAACGTCGCTGAGGCCGGGAACCTGGATAGAGCGCTATGGAGGGGTCAATGTCTAGAACCCCGACGTGATATCTAGGGATTCTAGTAACTATTGAAAATACGAGTAGAATCGATCGGTGGCGACCTCAATTGAATGAATGGCCGCAAGTTCAAATGAATGAAGAAACGATACATGAAATTCGGAGTGGAGTAAGTGGAAGAAAATTGGAAAATTGAAGAGTTTTCGATGGAGGATATTCATTTTTTTCCATAATACATAATGAGAGGATTATGACATGATATGAATTATCAAGAGATAATATTAAAGCAATAGATTTTTTGAGTTACCATCTCATTAAAAAAAACCATGGTAGAAATGATATCAAGTACATTTTACATATTCCGTAGTAAGGACGTTAATCTTTTCATTTATCACCTCCTAGATGATAATCAAATGATTTCAGCCGACAAAAATATCTAAATGCTCGGGAATGTTGGAAAATCACGATCCACAGTTTTCTCCATTTCAAAGCAGTCTTGAGCGAAACGAGTGGCGTCTCGAGTCTCATATTGGGATGACTCCCGAAGAAATTGATTTTTACGGCAATCTCGCACGCTGGACGCGTAGTGACAGCCACCGCGATGATCAAGGATATTGCACGCGGCACGCGCGGTAAGCGCCGCTGTGACAGTTGGAGCAGCAACTACTTCGACAGTTACTACGGCTTTTTCAGCTATAGCCATTGCAACGATTGAGGCGGCTGCCATCGCGATAATTACTGTGGCACTTGTGGCTACACTTGTTGCCTCATCAGGATTTTTTTTAGGACACTCCGAAGGATCACTAGAACGATTTTTTCCAGCACTTCCAACAGGTCTCTCCTCAGGATACTCCAAAGGACGACTAGAAGGATTTTCTCCAGCAATCCCATCAGGATTTTCTCTAGGACACTCCAGAGGACAACGAGAAGGATTTTTTCCAGCAATCTCATCAGGATTTTCTCTAGAACACTCCGAAGGACAACCAGAATGATTTTCTCCAGCACTTCCAACACGATTCTTCTTAGGATTCTCCGGAGGACGACTAGAAGGATTTTCTCCAGCAATCTCATCAGGATTTTCTTTAGGACCCCCCGAAGAACAACCAGAACGATTTTTTCCAGCACTTCCAACAGGACTCTCCTCAGGATACTCCGAAGGACGACTAGAAGGATTTTTTCCAGCAATCCCATCAGGATTTTCTCTAGGACACTTCAGAGGACATCGAGAAGGATTTTTTCCAGCAATCTCATCAGGATTTTCTCTAGGACACTTCAGAGGACATCGAGAAGGATTTTTTCCAGCAATCTCATCAGGATTTTCTTTAGGACCCCCCGAAGAACAACCAGAACGATTTTTTCCAGCACTTCCAACAGGACTCTCCTCAGGATACTCCGAAGGACGACTAGAAGGATTTTTTCCAGCAATCCCATCAGGATTTTCTCTAGGACACTTCAGAGGACATCGAGAAGGATTTTTTCCAGCAATCTCATCAGGATTTTCTCTAGGACACTCCGAAGGACAACCAGAATGATTTTCTCCAGCACTTCCAACACTATTCTCCTCAGGATACTCCGAAGGACGACTAGAAGGATTTTCTCCAGCAATCTCATCAGGATTTTCACTAGGACCCTCCGAAGGACAACCAGAATGATTTTCTCCAGCACTTCCACCAGGATTCTCCTCAGGATACTCCGAAGGACGACTAGAAGGATTTTCTCCAGCAATCTCATCAGGATTTTCTCTAGGACAGTCCAGAGGACGACTATAATTATTTTTTTCAGCACCGACCAACAAAATTCTCCTCAGGACCCTCCGAAGGATGACTGGACTGATTTTCTCTAGTAATTTTACCAGGATTTTCTCTAGGCCACTCCCGAAGACAACTAGAACGATGTTTTTCCAGCATTCTCACCAGGATTCTCTCTAGAACGCTCCGGAGGACAACTCGGATGATTCCTTTCCAGCACTTCCAACAGGATTCTCCCCAGGACACATTCTATGATGACTAGAAACATTTTCTCCAGCATCTCCAAAATTCACCCTAGAAGGCTTTGAAATATAGTCAGAGTATTTGTACTTTATGTTCCCGTTATTCGGTTTACGATTATGGGATCATCCCATTCTTCCCAGATTACAGGCGAATAAAATCTCAAGTGTTGAGAAGAAAAGAGAGAGAAAACAGAGATGCTAAAGATGATCGTTTTGAACGTGTTTCAGAGCTCTCAGGAATATCCTGATGGAGATGCTAAAGTGGATGAGTTCATCCATTTTCCACATCTAGACATGGGAATTGTGTGGATTAGAGTTATCCAAACTTATTAATACAATGCGTCACTCAGTTATTTATTAAGAGAAAATATGCAAAAAAATAATCAATGGAACAAGCAGTTGATAGTTCATGCCAATTCCAGTTTTTTCTTCATTTCCGAGTGAATTGAGAGATTACACAGCAAATGCCGGCGGTAATTCAATCATCAATTCTGCATGTTTTCTTATTTTATCAATGCGTCATCTCTCCTTAGTTTGTTCACACCAGTGAGAACGTCATTCCAATGAGAAAAAAAAATGTTCAATAAACAAGAGCGAGCGAAAACTACCATACAGTTTTATGACAGGCTGATACTGATTGTGAGTTAACCAGAATCATTTATTCAATTCAAAGAACTAAGTCTATTTGTTTTCCCTCATTAGTTCCATTATTATGAAGTGGGGATTCGTTTTGTGGACGGATAAAACATTTAGTGTATTACCAATGTCAAAAATCGACAGAGAAAATGACAGAATTATTGTTCTCGCTAAATGGGAGGATGGAAAATATTATAAGGGAAAACTTCTGGCTCAACGCAGTGAGGCAGTCATGATTCAATTGATTCTATCAACTTGTACATATTTTCTTCGTTTGGGGGATAGATGACGAAGAACTACTGAACTCCTTATACGTGTAAAAAACAGGAGTGATTGATTTTTCACAATCGGAATCGGATCGGATTTTTCACTCAGAAATCATCTGAAACAACACAGGTAGAGTCCCCGTCAAATCTCATCAATGATCAACCCTCGGTCAACCCTCCACGTGAGGAAGATGAGAATTTGCCACCTAGGAAACGTACAGAGATCATGGAGTCGCCAAAGAGCCCCTCCAGTCCAGATTGTAGCTCCTCAGAAACGCGAATGCAGGTCTTGAGAAATCCCTTTTTCAAGGACAAATCTGCTTCATGTGGTAGGCTTGGCACTGCTCGTCTATCTTATTCCGCGAAGTCAGGAAAAGACGAAGTGATTCACAACGAGAAGGCAGCAATCACTTCAAAAGCTCGATTGATTGAAAAAGGCAATCGAAATTTATCCTGCCCCGAGTTCACAGCCATTCTGGTCGTAACTCAAGTTTCGATGACGCTGAAGTTGAGATTCTGGCTGTTATTAAACATGAGAACAGTGTTACCCCACATCAATGCCAGCTTCTCACGTCCGAAGTTTCACAGTCAGTAGAGAAGATCAATTTAATATAAAGCAATACCAATTACTGATTCATATGACGAAAAAATTCCAGGAGTCTTCCAACAAATCCTGACCACGAAGGACACATTCCAATAGCATCAAACCCTGGCTCAAACAGTTTTCCAAAAATCCCAACCTTCACACGTCCTCCTTGTCCCACCAAACTTCGTGGAGTTCAAAACAGTTCCCATGTTAATAATCTCCATTTCAACAGTGAAAAATCTGCTGAATCTTTGGCTTCGTGCAGACTCAGAGAAATTTCCCCTTTGAATCATTCGGAATCTTCGATATCTTCCCATGTCCGGTTTGTGGTTATCATAATTAATTAATTTGTCATGGTGCTTGTCGCCCCATTTCTTCCATTTTTTCACAATAAATTTTAGCGAAAATCCGAAACGTATCGAAATAAATGGTGAGAAGCGAAGTGCTGTAGCTCGAACCTCACAAAATACCCCGTTGTCCTTCGGATCATCCTCTGGTCAGTCCTCTTCAGGACTGAGTTCTCATCTTCAGGAAGGAAAAAAACCTACAAAGTCGAGAGGAACGTCTCCAATCATCATTAGGCTCTCCACAAATCAGTCCAGTGATCCTGGATCAGATGAGACGCCTGTTAACGTTTTCCCTCCTCGTACACTATCCTCGTCCAGATCTGGCATGATCAAGTCTCGGGAATTGGAATTTGTTGTGATTAATGAGTCGATTGCTTCCATAATTCCTACTTTACCTTCATGCGATTGTCATCAACGTTCCTCAACACCATTATCAACTACACCACGTGAAAAATCGAAAAAAAAACAAGAAGGAAAATTGCCACGAGTCATTTCGAGCTAAGGCCAAAGCTGTAGTCGAGAGGGTGGTCGTCATAACGAACCAAGCCGTTCTACATCTCGACAACTCACCATTCCAAGAATTCCCTCGAATCCTCAAGCTACTGTACCTCCAGCCAAAAGATCTGCAGAAATATGGAGAAAATCCTTTGAGGGCGGTGATTCAGATACTGATGTCGACAGTAATAGTTCAGAGATCGATGAAGGCTCTACTGTAGACTGGAGAGAGAATGGAAGAAATAAAGTGGAACTGATTGCTGAATCGGGTGTTTATGTTGATTATGCTAAATTGAGAGATATAAGGAGACGCTGGAGGAAGAAACCGAAGGAGCTCGTTCGGAGGTTGCTTAAACACATGATTCGTAGAAGAAAATTGCTGAAGATGTCAAGGACAGACTTTGGGAATCGAGAAGCTATCCCGAAAGCAATATTGCGAGCAATAAAAAGTAGGTGAACTTGTACTCCCGGTTTGGAATTGTTATAAAAAATGAATTTGATTTTCACCAGAGTTCATACGTAAGGAAGTTCCCCCCCAGTTGGTTCTATCGACCTTCGAATATAACGAATGCATCACTAAATGTTGTGACAATTTGCGACAAACGGAGAAACGTCATTAAATAGTGCTACATGTTTTCTTTTTTTTCCAAAATTCCTGTTGACATTTCATTCAAATCAAAGATTTTCTGACATTCACATTTATTGGTATCAATTGAATGACAACCTTCTGACCTTCACGATTGGTTGAAAATATGTGGCTAATCAATAGTTATTTCTTCAGGAGAATTCACATTCCGTACGTCTTATACAGTCGGTTGTATCGTCCGGTAGATTTTCAACTTTCCGGAATTGCCGAATGATCCACGACGTTAATGCCTTCTCGATCTTTCGTAAATCTTGTTCTAATTGTCTTCAGGTTCTTCAGTAATACTCAACTTGTTAATTAACATTTTTCCACGATAACGGATCTAGTTCGTCTAACCATCTCTTATTGGACTCAATAATTTCATTTATTTACTTATATCTTGTGACCTTTCAATATTTAATTATTATTATTTCCTAAAAGGGGGATTTAGGGCAATTAAATAATGAGGACAAATGAGGGATAAAATTAACTGAATATGTATATTTCTATTAATTTACATGATAGATCGTCGTAAGACGCTTGAAATGCCTTTTACTTGGATCTAGGGTTATGGGTAAGGCCAGGCAACTTTTGTACACGTGCAACGGGAGTGACTCTAATGCAGTAAAAAGGGGAGAAGCTAGTCGTGTCGAGGGAATGCAACTAAATATAAGAAGAATGACTAAATGGGGAAGAAACAAAAGAGTGTAGGCTCACCGTTGGGGGGTATGAAGGGTAATATTGTGGGGACAAGAGGGAAAATGAGGGGGGTAACTCGTACTCACGATGGGACTTCACTCTGGCGAACACTTGGGAATTCCACCGGCGCCTTGCACTCCTTCAAAATACCAGGGCGTTTTCCTGGAGAGCCCCCTTTCCACCTCGGGGTTTGCTGGGCACCAATACTAGAGCTGGGATGAGCTCGATGTATCAAAAGTCCTCGTTTTATACGCCAAATAACTTCCGGGCGAATTTTACTATATTCACTGTTACTACTTTCGGGGCACGTGGCGACTCATGGGGCAGCTATTGCACGAGTGACGGTCTTTTCTTTTCCTTCGCGATTCGTGGGGGTTCGTCAGGTGTCGATGTCCTTCGGGTTTTAATTCGGGAGCAATCGGGGCCAATCAGCACGGGTGAGTGGTGACGATGACCACAATCCAGGGATGTCCCGCAAGGGATTATTGCAGGTGTTGAATATTCGGGGGTCCAGTATGGGGAATTTCCAGGAGGCGATGGCTTCTCCAATTGATCGGGTGGGGCCGGAACTGATGTCTTCCTTCGGCTGATGTCTTCGTGATGTCCAGGGGCGGGGGTAGAGGGGCAATGAAGGGAAAAATCTGGGGAAGGGGTATCCAACAGTGGCGGGATTTGCCTTTTAGGGGGCAGTGTGTAGTGGGAAAAAATATGTAGACAAATAATAAAAAATAAATGAATATGCCTCGTCACAATCTCTTAATGACTATGCGCGGTTGCTTTTACAGTCAGACTGGATTCACTAATAGTAGAATTGAAGGCATAAGTTTCTCTAGAAAACTCCAAAAGACTAGGGCAGGGTGGGGCAAAGTAGAACATTTCTCATCGACTTGAAATTCCAATATCTCTGCTTAAAAACAAAGATATCAAGTATTAGAGTCCATCACAAACGTTCCACTTTGCCCCACTCTCCCCTACTTCCAGCAGTATATCCACTATTTTTCAAAGTATTCATGGTAAAATTTGGGGTAAAGATGGAGGAGAGTCGTGGGGTATTGGAGAGATGTGGAAAAAATGACTTGGCAATCATCTTTGATCATTTTTGGAGACACTCTGGCTCTTGATTTTGCTGGCGGTATTGCAATTCATTTCGCAATCGTAACGAAAATATTGGTGAAAGTTCAACCATAACTAGTTATGTTTATAGTCAGAAGGAGGAATAACTCAATCGAATTGTTCAACTGGATGACATGGTGGAGATTACTAGCATCGTCATGGAAGGCTTATGCTAGCTGACGAAATTCATGGTTTTACTCCCAATGCTGAAGAGAAGTTCCCTACAATTATTGAGTGAGTCCCTGAAGAAAGTCTCGCTGAAAGTTAAAAA